AATAAAAATATGTGAGACTGAACAGCTAAGTGATTTGCCCCAAGTTACATAGCTGGTAGGTGTTAGAACAAGATTTAAACCCCCGGGGATAAACATATTCTGAACAAGAAAACTGGAGGTATCTAAAGAAAATTACAACCTAGAACTGGCTTCTGTGAGTTCAGAGCTCGTGGGAGCTCACAAACACAGGACCAGCTGTGTTGGTAGGAATAGCATCACAGAGTTAAACCCAGAAATGCCAGTTCTAAAGAAAAACGCAAAACCCTACCATTTAAGAGATCTTTAATGATTTCCAGAAGTGGATCTATGATAATCATGTTAGCTCACTTCTATTAAGCACTTGATATGTCTCAGGTATTGTTCCATACATGGTTTGCTGATATTGTCTCTTCTCATCCTTAACAGTTTTGGAGGGGGAGTTAACAGACCAAAACTCTCACAGTTTATAGGTGGGGGTGCGGGGACATGAACCCAGGTGGTCTCATTCCAGAATTTGCATTCCCAAGTACATGCAGCATCAAGGAAGATATAGGCTCCATGCGCAGGATGCTGGGATGCTCCACAAAGGCTTGCAGAGGAGGAAAGAGGCCCATAGTGTGTGTAGTGGGAGAAGCAGGAGTTCTAAAGTCGAAGGACCTGTGCTGAAGACCTGCGTCTTACAGGCTTTACTCCTCGGCTGTCATCCTTACCCTCTCTGAACCCTGTCTATGTAACGGGAAGCTACACCTGTCCTACCCACCTCCCCAGGTTGTTGTGAAGATCAAATGAGGCCATGTGCATGAAAGCATGTCATAAACCTTAAAGCCCCTTATAAATATACATTGCCCCATATAAATAAGTTATTGTGCCATCCTGAAACGTATATGGCATAATGTAAACAATATACAAAAGCTTTGTTTAGGCAGTGGGCAGATGACCCCCCAAAGTTTGTTTTCAGCTGCAAGCAGAGGTCCTGTATGCAAAGCAGGGCTTTAAAAAACAACAACATTGAAGAGTATCAGTTTGAATGTTGATAAGTGTTTTATAAATAGCTGCATAATTAGCATATACTTACTGTAAAAAGTATACATAATATTTTATTCCCTGTTGTAGGCCGTAATGAATCTGCTGCCTCGACATCCTAGGAGGTTTTCACTTCCTTTCTCCATGATCATTTTAATACATGGAACCATTATTAGCTGAATTAAGAATAAGTAAATGAGTAGTAAAAAAAAAATACAGAAAAATTACAGGTGCCTGTGGTGAGTAAGATAATAACTAGGTAAAAATATATGAAATAATTACAGTGTTTGAACGGCAGAGCTGGCATGAGGAAAATGACTCAACGGAGTACCAGGCCTGCTGTTGGCAGGGTAGAAGGACTGGAGCCTACACTGCAGCCTCCACCTCTTCTGACTCTCGGGCCCAATGCCTTGCTGAAAGCAGATCCAGTCTGTCTTCAGCTGCATCTGCATGATGCCGAAGGAGCTGATCCAATTCAATGAATATTTAGTCACTCAAAGTTTGTGGTCCATTACCGTAAATACTCAATAACTGAACGATTCAGTTGAAAAGAGGTACCAGACTCTTGGTGTTTGTGTAGACTTGGTCATTCTGGTGACACTGAGTATGGTCTTGTTGATAATGTATCTATGATCTGTATTTGACATTTCGACAAGATGGAACTTCAAAATCTAAAAATCACGTAAACCTTCTAAAAGCCTGAGAAGATTGTTATGAAAATAAATAGAAGCCCCAGCACCTGCCCTGTAACCATTTCAGGTATAATCAACTATGTATAAAGTCTCCTCTGTGCCCCTTAGGAATCTGATTGGGCAGGCTGCTTAGGAATGGAACAGTATGTTGCCTAGGGAGGGGCAGCGTCCTCGAGCAACTGCCTGGATTCAGCTCTTAAAGTAGTATCACCCACACCTCTATTTTAGTAAATAAAACACAAGGGCACAGGCGAGGCTTTGTGAAACAAATCAGTGCTCCCTTTTGTTTTTCCCAGAGGCAAAAAATGCTTAACTTTGATGAGGAAGCAGAGAAAGCCTCTTCCCCAGAGTAGCTGATACTCGCCCAGGAGGCTAGGAGTTACAGGCACTCAGCTCCAGTTTAGGTACTCAGCTCGCTGAGTCAACTCCAGCTCCAGGAAATTTGGAACTTCCGCAAAAAGGAGGAAAAAAATCTTTTCCATTAGGATTTTTTGCTTCCCAGATACAATTATTTACTAATTTCATGAACCCAAGCACTCATGTCCTGTACTGTAGCTGCTGCTTGGGGCTGTGGGAGTGGTGATAATTGAAAGAGTCTTGTCTGGATGTGTAAACGCTGCCATTTCCTCACTGAACCGATGGCTGGGCAAGTCCCCTTCCCAACCCTCAGTTTCCTATCTGTACATATTCCCTGTCACGTTTGTAGAAAGCATTACATGATTGTGTGAGCACATTAAGAATATTTATTATAAACTGTCAAGTTCTTTATACATTTGAAGTGTTAATCATGCTAATCCTTCCAATCAGGTATTCTATCTTTTGTTGTTGATAAAAGCCAGATTTCCCCAGCAGGAAAGAGGACAAGAAAAATCTGTCTTGACCCACAGACACAATGTTGATTTAGCTACCCTAGGTGAGGGCCCTGGAGATTAACCACAGGTGTGCTGCTGATATTTCTGTATCCAACACAAAACCATTTACATTCTTTTGTAGAGTCCAAATACGATAACATGGAAAGTTAGAATTATAGCTACTTGATATCAACATAAAATTTCAAAGTATTTCAGCTCCATACAAATAGGAAAGACTCTCTCTTTTTTCTCATGGACTCTTGGATGAACCAGAACATATTTTTATATTCTGCCAGGAATTACTCATTTGATAACCATGATATATGTGACTATGTTTCTAGTTATTGTTAAAAAAAAAACACAAAAAACCATAAAATGTAGTGCCCAGCATTGCAATTCTTTGGGGGAAAAAACCTGGAGTTATGTGTGCATACAATCAAGAGACCAAAGGGTTAATCAGAAAAGACATAATTTTCCCATAAAGTGATCTTTCTTCATTTTTTTTATCATAAGTTCAGAGAGAATTGTAGCAATACACGTTGAGCAATTTTCTTTCTTTTTTTATGAATCTCGTGCTCAATTTATGAAGGCCATTTTGCAACCCATTTACATGTAGCGCACCTTTGCTTTAAGGTTCGGTCGTTTACCTTGATCGTGATTATTTATAATCTCTTTAGAAAAGGCCCTTTCCTGGTGTAGCTCTCAAGCACAGCTCAGCCACCACGCAGCTTTCTGCAGTGCCTATGAAGTCATGGGTGAAAGCTAAGGCAGGGCCAGTCTCGCAGGCAGCCCTGAGCACGGGCGTGTTGTGTGATGTGGAAGAAAGCTAGTTGGAATTAGGAGTCTTGGCTTCAAAACCAACTTTACATCCTTGCTATGTAATCCTGGTTATTTATGCTCTTTTAACTGTCAGTGTGCTGTCTTGTAAAAAGGGAGCAATACTTTTTATCAGAAGACTATAAAGTAGAGCTTGACTGTGGTAGTCTATGTGCAAGTCACAGTGTAAGTTATAATATGAGGAACTGGTCCTGTCAGTAATATGCACTACTATAAATCACTGAAAAAGAAACAGTATGTTTAGCCTAAAATCTTTCTTGATCACATACTATATTCCCCTTTTTGTAATCCACGTAAGAATGAACCGAGAGTAGAGACCTTTTCCTGACACGTATAGTAGACATTCAATTAAGGCTTTGTCATGTTAATAAATAAATAAAATTTCTAGATAAAAGTCACTATGTTAGGCATGGTATAGAATACAAGACAAATAATATATCATCTAAGCCTCAAAGAGCTTATAGTTGACTTAAGATGGCTAGCTATAGATGCACAAAAAGCCAGTGTGAGTTAAGTTGTACTTCTGGACAGGAGAGGAAGAAATGGTACAAAAGGTACCTGAGTCCCTCACCAGATGACCAGTACAGCAGGAGCCCTTCCTCTTCCTCATACGGGGCCAGCTTGCCTTCCTCCAGCCTCGCCCCCACCCCGCGCCCTGCCAACCTGCGCTCTTTGGGTCAGTCACGGTCCTGGCATTACTGGCTGGCGTCTTGGAAGGGTTTAATTTGAAGTACCTTTACACAATAGAATACCACACAGCACAAAGAAAGAATTTCTACCTTTTGTGACAGCATGGATGGAACTGGAGACTATAATGCTAAGTGAAATAAGCCAATTGGCAAAAGACCAATACCATATGACCTCATTTATAACTGGAATCTAATGAACAAAATGAACTAACAAGAAAAACAGAACCAGAGACATGGGAACATGGAACAGACTGATAGCTGTAGGAGGGGAGGAGGACAGGGGGGAATGGTGGGAGGAAGGAGAAGGGATTAGTCAAAGAACATATGTGAGTGACACATGGACCAGGGAGAGGGAATTGACTGTGGGCAAGAGGGGTGGGCTGGGTGGAGGGGGGCAAAGGAAAAAAATGGGACAATTGCAATAGAATAAGCAATAAAAAAGTAGAAAAAATAAAAAATAAATTAAAAAAAGAAAGGCATATAATGAAGGGGATGCAAGAGATCGGTACAGAATTATGGCAACCAATACGAGATAGCAAGGCACCCAGCACCCAGAGACAAGGAACAGTGGGAAGCATTTCCACCCCTAGGAATGAAGCGCAAGGTGGAGGGCAGGCGGGAGGTGTGAGGCAGCCTGGTGAAAGCTAGAGCTGGACACAGGAGTCCTTGCCGCCGCACAAGTCCAGGTGGAGCCAAGCCAGTCTAATTTTCTGGGCATCTATCAGGTCAAAGCCAGCAGTCATTAATACGGGTTTGTATTCATTTGGTCCAGAACTTTTATGTGGGTAGAGATTTTCTTGAGGGCCTAAGGGGAGAAATGAATCAGTTGAAAAGGCTGGCTCTCTGAAGCCAGGATCTGTCACTCTCTGCCTTAGCAAGCAGCGCAGTCAAATGAGTGCGAAATAATGTCTTCCTTGACTCCTTGGAACTTACCATGCACAGCCTTCACAAGGCACAGAACAGGAGAAAATGGATTATGCCCTCAACAACAAGAGGCGAGTCGTCCGCCTGGTTTTGCAGTGGGCCGCCATGTATGGAGACCTCCTGCAAGAGGACGACGTGGCTATGGCTTTTCTGGAGGTACGTGGGGTCCTTCCTTCCAAGAATACATCTCCATCCTACAACACACAGACTACCCACAGGCATTGCAGCTTCCCTGGAGATGCTATACTTGCAAATTCTAGCCTTTGTTAACATGTTCATTTATCATTAGGTACTGTAAGAAAAATAAAAACATCATCCATTATCCTACCACTGTAATTCAAAAACTGGTAGCATTTTAATATATTTTCATTTGTTCTCTTTTTTTTTTTGGTATATTTTTCATAGTTATAATCACATAGTACCCATCATTTTGCAGGCTTCTTTTTCCACTTAACTTCATGTAAGGATTTTTTCATGTCAGTACAGTCCTTCTAATTTTGAGTAGTTATGCCATAGATATACCTATTTGCTCCAATATTGTCAACTATATACATCATTTCCATTTTCACCTTCTTAGAATAGTAGTGAACATTTTCAGGCATGTAGGCCTGTCCTTGGTTACATGTGGGATTACTAAATCAAATGGTAGATTTTTGAGTGGAGTGAAGCAGATCATTTTATTGAGAAATCACTGGAATCATGAGGTGGTTCTGAGGACATGATTTACTTTGTAAGCACTGCTTTTAGGCTGAACTTCCCTTTTCCTTCCCGTGGCCCCAGCCCCACGTTATAGCACTGACCCCGGCATTTAATCCTTGATGATTTACTCTGTCCTCTGAAACTTAGATAAGGGCCTTACTTTTGTGCAGGCAAAGCACAATGTGACTTCTATTTCAAACTCTATCAGTCTGAATGTTCAAGAATGAATTATACAAAAGAAACATACCTCTTATCTTCTTTGTTAACCCTATCATTTGTCAGGCAGACGTAGGGGAGGCAGAGAGGAAGGGTGGACAAAGTCCTTTAAAGGTGGGAAATGAAGTATTTTGAAAATGTAAAAGAATAATAACAGCTTGGAATTATAACTTGATTTGTGGCCTCCACCCGCGGAGTAGAGGCCCATGTGGCAAGCAGGCTGGCACAGCCACGCCCCCCTTCTGCTGCGGAGGCCCCTGCACCTGAGTGAAGCGGCATAGCTGCTGCTCTGTGGTCAGGCTGGTTCCCAGAACCTCAGCAAAGAGACCTGAGTGGATGGCACCAACTCAGTGTAAATTTACTGTATTTTGCCGTGCATAATGCGCACCCATGTTTTTGTATGCATTATACACAGGATTATTATGCCCATTATTATACTCATCATATGTAATCATTATACCCATGTATAATGTGCATCCTTATTTTTCCCCTCAAAACTTTGGGCAAAAAATGTATACATCATACATAGCAAAATACAGTAGTGCGGTGCTGAAGGCCCTGCCTGCATTTTTACCACTGACAATGAACTACAACTAGAGGTAAATATTAAGTAAACAACAAACAATAAAATAATATCAAAATAAATATTAAAGTCCCCTTGAAAAAGTATTGAGGCAAAAAATAAAAAAAGAAAGAGTGCTCTTCCAAGGTACACTATAAAATTACTCATTCCAAAACACTGCATTACATTGCCTTTCATATAAATACCAATGTAAATAATTCATTTGCAATCATAACTAAAAATATTTTTTTGAAGTAAAATATACCCAACATAAAATTTGCTGTTTTAACCATTTTAAGTGTAGAAGCACAATGTTATACAACCATCACCTCTGTTTTCAAAATTTTCTCTCAGTTGCAATTTAGACTTTAGGCATATTCTAACAGTTTCTTTTCTTTTCTTTTCTTTTCTTTTCTTCTTTTCTGTCCCAGTCCATAAAACCATGGTCTGGAGATGCTAGTGACGCAGATGACACAGGCACACATCTTTATTGCTCTTTATAGACTTGTGTACCTTTTGCACTTCCTCTTAAAAGCCTGTGACCTTTCCCGATTACAGGAGTTTTATGTGTCTGTGTCAGATGACGCCCGGATGATTGCAGCCCTCAAGGAGCAACTGCCCGAGTTAGAGAAGATCGTCAAGCAAATGTAAGGAAGGGCTTGGCTTGGGGGTGTGCTTCCCTCACGGGAAGTTTCTGCTCTCAATGAAAGCAGGACCCACCAAGTCCTTTGCCCTGAAAAGGTGAAAGCTAGTTTTTCAACAGCCATACAATATCCCAATTTGAGCAGACCTGGGCCTGGGGCATAAGTTGTGTTGAGGCCAAAGTAACAAAAGGACTGAGATTCTGCTCAGCTGCCTCCCAGGCTGGGTGGCTGCCACGAGGAAGGCTGGGAAGGAAAAGATCTTTCCTTGGTCCCTTTGGTCTAAGCAGTGAATCTAGTCATAAAATGGTCAGTGGCATCTAAAGAAAGTTTGAGGGGAACCACTTACGTGGAAAATTTACTTGGTGTGCCCAAAGCTGTTGACAGTAAATGTTTGTGTCTTTTCAATGAAAAGAAAGAAGTTTTTCATATGTTGTTCCTAAGCCATAGATTAAATACTGGAGCAAAGGTATGCTGCTAGATGGACTTTGAAAGCTAGAAACCTGGGCTTTTTAAAAATATATATATTTGAGAGAGAGACAAGGGAGAGAGAGAGAAACATCAATTGCTTGCCCTCCATATGTGCCCCCGACCAGGAATCAAACCTCCAATATTTTGATGTACTAGACAATGCCCCAACAGACTGAGCCACGCTGGCACGGGCTAGAAACCTGAGCTTTTAACATTGGTTCTGCTAGGGACCTGCCTGTGACAAAACCTAATCTCTTTGCTGCGTCCTCCATGCTTTGATCTCTCAGTATTAAAATGAGGAGGCTTATATTGCCTCCTGAAGAGATGCTGTGATCTCATTTTCTAACATAAGATTAAAATTATATACAAGTGAAGCAATTTCAAATAGTACCAATGGTATTAAATAATGTGGCCTCTCTGTTTCTCTTAGTTCAGAAGATGCAAAGAATCCACAAAAGAAGGTATGTGGCGATGGATTGGGATTCTCTACTTGTCTGGGCCTTGTAAAATGACAGTTCTCCAGTAATGTTATATTGCAACATGTAAAAGTGATGTTTTCATCAATTCAAAATATGTTTTCTTCATCTCTTTACTCTGACTACTTCTCAGGTGTGTTTCCCTTGAGTTGCCAATGTGCACCAGTATATTCTCCCTTTAAGGCAGTTACTATTATTATTTTCACAGCACAAAGTTCTTTTGCAACAGTTCAACACAGGCGATGAGAGAGCCCAGAAGCGCCAGCCTATCCGTGGCTCTGATGAAGGTGAGACTTTTCCTACAACTCAGGATTGTTTGGGTTATTTGAATAAAATCTTCCGCTGGGAATTGTCACCTTAGATCCACAGAATAGCTTTCTGAAGACACCCCTTTGCATTTCTGTTATTCCCATTCTTGAACTCTGTGCCTGGAGCTGAGGTGCTCATCCACACTTCCCTGATTCTGCCTCTCTCCCACTACCACCTGTCCTTGAAGGGGAGGCAAAAAAAAAAAAAAAAAAAAAAAAAAAGATGATCTCAGGAATCAGTTGTCAAGATTGCTCACTTCTGGGAAGAGCTGGCAGGAAAGTAGCTGGTGCTTTGCAGGCGCCTAGCAGAGGTCGGGGGCCAGGGTCATCTGCAGAGCTGGGCTCCTGCCCAGGGAGAGTGCCCTGGCCTGGGCACAGCCTCACTTAACACCCCCCAAAAAAGTGATGCAGATGCTGGCCATTACTATTTGGTGGTTGAAGATTTCTCAAAAAAAAAAAAAAAAAAGAAAGAAAGAGAAGTAAACCAAAATGAAACTAATAACAATGATAAAATTTACTATTTTAAGCCACAAATGAATCTTGTAATTTAGGAGTGCCTCTAAACCCAAAAATTACAGCAGCCAGATTTCTTCCAGGATTTGTGTGTTCAGAGGTGAGCCTGGGGGAGCCACCTATTTATCTGCTGACCTAAATACCACCCAAGCTATGGGACCCGGCCTCAACATACATAAACCAGTGAACAGGAGAGCCAGAAGGTCAGCACGTGGGTCGCGCCCCAGGCAGAGGCCCTGCTGTTTGCAGACGTATCACCGTGGCTGCCCGCTGCCGCACCAGGCAGCAGCGATCTAGTCAGCAGCCTACAGCACTCCCTGTACTGTGAGAAAAGAAAGGCTCGTAGACAAGGGCAGACCCACAAAACTGACCAAACCATACTTCTCATTTTTTCCCATGAGCTATTTGTGGATTTCTCACAAATATCTGTTGTTGTTTATTTTAATTGGGGACGACAGTCATGCATGCACCTATTCTTAGACCAATGCCAGGATAAAGAGATTTCGAAGGGAGCAAGTATTGGTGTAAACAAATCCTAGTAAATACAATAAGGATGACGAGATGATGCACATTTTGGCGGATGTCTAGCCATGCTGCATAGCTTGTGGTTTTCTTAGGAACTACCAAGAGTAACAGACCACATTGCTTCTGCCTTCCCAATAGTTCTGTTTAAGGTCTATTGCATGGACCACACCTACACAACCATTCGGGTGCCAGTGGCCGCCTCGGTGAAGGAAGTCATCGGCGCAGTTGCGGACAAACTGGGCTCTGGGGAAGGCCTGATCATAGTCAAGATGAGTTCTGGAGGAGGTAACAGTCTTACTTAGTACTTCGAGCTTCTGTAAAATGGGATATCCCATCCAAACAGAAACCCCGCCAGGAATCAGTGTGGCCCTTCCAAGTTGATGCAAAGGGACAAGTTGCTGCTGTGTATCCTCCCATGAATAGCAGAAATCATATGGTTGTAAGTGAGCTGGGTAAGTGTCTAATATCTCCCATCTTGTTCGGTGCCCACTCTAAAGCAGAAAAAAGAGACGTGATCTCTCTGAGGCAGCTGGAACTGAGGACTCTGATGTGGATGTCAGCTTGGAGTTCTTTCTATATAAACCACACCCCCCCCAAAAAAAGAAAAAGACTAAGGCCTTGGAGCTCTGAGAAACACAGACACTAAGAGAGCACCTAGCATGACAAGCTAAAGTCTGAAGTTGGACATGGTCATAGGCTAGTTCTCTCAGCTGACGACGGTCCCCCTCCTTACGCAGTAGACAGTGCCAGAACCCAGGTCATCAAATGAAATGAGGAGTCTTTTTCCCATGGGATTGCTTGATTACCCTATGCATTCCTGAGATGTCATTTATCCATTCATCATATATTTGCTGGCCACTTAGTGTGCCTGTGACAGGAGAGGAAGAGGTAGGCACAGCCCATGCCCCCAAGTGGCTCCCAGGCCTGTAAGGAGGTAAATAGTAAATAAACCATTACAATTTGTTTCCTCGAGAGTTTAGGGATGGTCAGCACATGTGAGAGCCAGGAGGAAACAGCAGGAAGGTAACTTTGTTCAGTAATGATTTGATGGCCATTCGGGGAGTCTTTCAGGATCAGATGAGCCATTTCTGCCGTGTTTGAAGACAAATGATTCCACTGATGGAGGATGTTAAAATGCATGCTGGATTCTCCCAGGATTTCTCCTTCCATTTCTGTCCCGGTCACACAGGGCCTGGGATGTCTGCCCTCGCTGACCCCCTGAGGCGTCCCGCCCCTAGCTATCCCGGGTCCCTCCCTCACTTCCTCGGTCTTCACCCAAGTGACAGTATGCCACTGAGGACCCCTTCCTTTCCTTGAATCCCTTTCTAAAATTGTAACTTTCCCCCTTATACCTGCTGCCTAGCCTCTTTCCTGGCGGGATTTCCTTCTCCTCATTACTTCTCGCTCTCTAACATACTTATCTTGGTCACTGCCTTCCCCACTAGGATGTAAGCTATTTTCAGACTGGGATTTTCTTTTCTGTATTGTTCCCTTCTGTGTCCTCATTGCCTAGAGGGTGTCCAGCATGTAGTAAACTCTAAGTGTTTATTGAATGAGTTAATTTTTAAAATATAGAAGGCTTAATGTAGGTAATGCGATTGCCCACCAAATTAGGAAATAAGTGAAAAATAATAATAAACGTTGCATCAAAAGTCATATGGGATCTCAGAACCCCTTGCCAAGTTTTCTAAAAGGCATCTTCCCATCTCCCTAGTGCGGGGCATGATTACCATCTGGAGAGATAACGTGTTATAGAAATAGCCAGTGTGGTGTTTGTATGTAATTACAGTGGCAGTACAGAACTGGGTGGATTGACCCTCGGGTATTTGCAGGCCTGTTTTGTGGTCATGTCCGATGGCATCCTGAATGTCGCGTGCCTGGGTGAATGCCGCATCTCTTTTATTCAGTGGGCCCCTTCAGTGCTGTATTTTATGCAGTCGCTCTGTATGTTCCGGCAATTCACTGAGCTGGCAATTTGTTGGTGTGATTAGGGCAGTGCAGCAAATCTCAGATGCATTTAATAGGCAATCTCATGCTTTTTATGTTCACAGAAAAGGTGGTGCTCAAACCTAATGATGTTTCAGTATTTACGACGCTCACCATTAATGGACGCCTGTTTGCTTGCCCGCGAGAGCAATTCGATTCACTGGTAGGTGTGGGCGGCTCCTCAGAGCAGCGCCTGCAATCAGAAAAACTTGTCTGGAGCTCCACTTTGCAGTCATGTTGAACCTAGTCACTCAAAAAAATCTCAAATGCTCCTCAGTTTTTTTCTTTTTTCTGTGATCTATTAGGTAAGCCCCAGGTGTTCATTTGAGATGCTCTGAGCTTTAGGTTTTCTTTTGTGGAATAAGCTAAGTAGCACCCCCATTGGTGCATAATTCAGCTTTCAAAATTCTTTGTAGGAATTCACCTCCTTGAAGTGTCCCCAATTTAAATATTAATATTTAAAAAATGAATAGTTAGAGCAGGATAAGAATAATTTTAGGACAAGCTATTCTGATTTATCATACTCCATAGAGGGGTGTACCAATACACTGGCAAAGCCCCGCTCCAGGCTAAGAAAAATGCTTTTCCTGCAAGTGTTCCATCTTGTGCAGAAAATACCAGGGGCCAAGAGTCTTCCCTAAGTCTCCAAAACACTTACTCCCAGCCACACAGAGCTCTCTGTGAGTACAGGTTTAATTGGTCCATGCTGATAATTGAGTAGCCTACTCTCTTTATGCAGATGGTAGGGTTCATGCCTGTTTATCCTATAAAAATTAGGCGTGGAGGTGAATGGCTATTAAAGTACCTTAGAAAACCTGTGGGGCCAGTTCAGAGAATAGACGACTCGCTTTTTTCCATCTTTGGACACACAGGGCTCCCTTACTAAGAAAAGTGCAACACAGGGGCTAGAGGTGAACTGCATGGCATTTGGGGGGAAAGTTTAACTGCATAAATGCTGCATGAATACATTCGAGTTTAATCCAATTAGACATTATGGGTAAATCAAGGTTTCCCTCCTTGGACTTTTAGAGCTTGATTTTGCTTCATCATACAATACTTCTGGCTTTCTGGGTTGGAGAAAGCCGTTTTTTGCACTCTAGCACAATTCAGTAGATTCTTGCAGTATCTTGAACTCACCTGGAGAAGAACTTGGCCATGCAGCCTTAGTTCTCTTACTACTGCCTCATCCATTATAGCCCATGAGCACCCTTGCCTTTCCTCGGCCACCAGTACTGTAAGATCTGAGTCTGCTCACCATCATTTTCATATATTTTTTGCCACCTACATTCATTGCTTTCTAAATAAATATTTCCGTCCTGTCAAGACAGAAGTGTAGGTAGACATGCTTCATCTCCTTGTACAACCATAGAAAGAATTACAACTAGATCTCAAAACAAATAACACCCAAAACCATCTGAAAATCGAGCTGTATGGAAGTCTCACAACGAAGGATTTAAAGAAGCCACATTCATCCAGACGGGTACAAGGAGCAGAGTCACAGAGATGGATGGAGAAGTACGGAGACACAGTGTGGCACAGAGAGTCAGTGGTGACAGCAGGACAGTCCTCCATTCACATATGATGGGTAAAAATCAGGAGGGACACCTTGGGAGTGAACGATCCCATCTGCAGGCCAGACTGCACAGCCCAGGGAAAATAAATTCCCACAACTTCTGGCTATAAAAACCAGTGGGGTTAGGGTGGCAGAAGAAAATTCTGGATTTTCAAGAGATTCCTTTTAAAGGGCCCACATGGATTTAGGACAAACACAAACCGACCCACTCTGGGATTCACCCTCAGGGCAACATCTGGAAAGGTGCCAGTCACATACAGGAAGTAGGTGAAGTGACTGGAAATGAGGTGAGTGCTGGGCAAACCTCTAGAAGCCAGGGGATAGCCTTGTCCCCTCTCTGAGTCTTCCCACCACACAGAGCCACAAAGCAGTGAAGCAGGCTGCCCCACCCTAAGGCTCTGCCCCACACAATCTACAGATTGCTTTTCTGCAATAGGCCACGCTACTAAGACAGGGAGTCAAAGCAACTCTACCTAATACACAGAAACAAACAGAGGAAGGCTGCCAAATTGAGGAGACAAAGAAAGATGGCCCAAATGACAGAACCCCAGAAAAAGAACTCAATGAAACAGAGATAACCAAGCTACCAGATGCAGAGTTCAAAACTGGTGATCAGGGTGGTCAAAGGACTCAGTGGGTATGGCAACAACATAAAGGAAGAAATGAAGATTATGCAAGGTGAAATAAAGGAAAATCTACAGCAAACAGTAGAGAGGAGGAAGCTGAGAATCAAATCAATGATTTAGAATATATGGAAGAAATAAGCATTTAACCAGATGAACAAGAAGAAAACAGAAATCAAAAAAACAAGGATAGTGAAAGGACCGTCTGAGGCATCTCCAAACATACAACATGGGGATGCCAGTAGGAGAAGAGGAAGAGCAAGAAATTGAAAACTTATTTGAAAAAATAATGAAAGAAAACTTCCCTGATTTGGAAAAAGAAATAGACATACAAATCCAGGAAGCACAGAGAGTCCCAAACAAGTTGGACCCAAGGAGGACCACACCAAGAAACATCACAATTAAAATGCCAAAAGTTATAAAGAGAGAATCTTAAAAACAGCAAAAGAAAGGCAGAGGGTTACCTACAAAGGAGTTCCCATAAGACTATCAGCTCATTTCTCAAAAAAACTTTGCAGGCTAGAAAGGATTGGCAAGAAGTATTCAAAGTGATGAAAAGCAAGAATGTACAGCCTAGATTATTCTCTCCAGCAAAGCTGTCATTTATAATGGAAGGGCAGATAAAGTGCTTCCCAGACAAGGTAAAGCTAAAGGAGTTCATCATCACCAAACCATTATTATATGAAATGTAAAGGGACTTATTTAAGAAAAAAGAAAGAAGATCAAAAATATGAACACTAAAATGGCAACAAATTCACAACTATCAACAATTGAATCTAAAAAAAACAAACTAAGCAAACAACCAGAACAGGAACCGAATCATTTGGAGATATGGAGATCATTTGGAGGGTTATCACCTGGGAAGGGGAAGGCAGAGAATGAGGAAAAAGGTGCAGGGGTTAGGAAGCATAATTGATAGGTACAAAAATAGACAGGGGGATGTTAAGAATAGTATAGGAAATGGAGAAGCCAAAGAACTTTACATGCATGAGCCATGGACATGAACAAAGAGGGGGGATTGCTAGGGACAAGGGGGTACAGGGTTGGGAGGAAAGGAGGAAAAATTGGGACAACTGTAATAGCATAATCAATAAAATACATTTTAAAAAAATACTTGTCATCAAGAGCCTGCAGAGAAAATAGTGTTGTAAATGAGTTATGCTGCCGTCCCCTGGAAACGGAAGCCATCAGAAGCCTGTTTAGTGGAACCGGTGGAATACACCGGTGGTGAGCACCACACGATGTATTTGCCACGTGGTGCTCAGTCCTCTCTTGCCAGCTGGTTCTTGGCCACAGTGCGCAGTGCCGTGGTGCATGGATGGAGTGCGGGGACTGCCTCCAGCTCCCTGTGGGGCAGATAGTAACTTCTAAGCCTCTGTTTATTTGCATAGCGTCCCACAGCTTTGCAAGTTCTTATCCTTACCAGTCTTCCATTTTAAGGCCTGAGCAATTGAAAGGAATTTACTGTGCAACAAGTACCCAGGTCATGACCTTGTTTAACTTTTTCCTCATCAGTGTTGTACTGTTCACTGGGCTACAGGTTATGTCGCTGTATTAAGGAGTGGTCAGACCTTACCTGCCTCACGAAACAGTAAACATGCAGCTCCTTTTCTCACTTTCTGGAAATTTCTTTAAAGGCAATCCTTCTAGGAAGAGTCATGCACAAGATGACTCCGCAGTCCAGAATGTTGGCCTTTGAGCAGTCAGCGCATACTTCGGAAGTGCCTGTTTTGCGCTCAGTGCTGTGTTAGCTTCTGTGTGACACTAGACTGGCATCCCTCATGGCAGTTCGGGTCCAGCTAAGGAAATGAGACTAATGAAAACAGCCTGGAACAGAGCAAATTGGGGGGCTAACTTGTGGTGTCTAGAATTAGTAGAGTGCCAGCAATTTAGCCTGGTTGGTAAAGGGCTTGGATTCTGAGGCTTTAAATGCTCTTGATATTTCATGAAAGCATAAATATTAGTACAGAGAAAATTACAATAAAATCCCATTGTACTGTGATTTGGTTCTACTTTTATCCATTTACTGGTTGTTTCGACTTTTATTTAAGTGCTCACTATATCGTTCCAGGCACTGTAAGTGGTTCTGGCTTTGGGACGTTCCTAAAGATGAATCTACCATGGCCTTGGTGACTCAAGGAACTCACCAGGTAGTGAGGGACATAAGAGTGTCCTGAGAACCCAATGCGACAATTGCCATGGCAGAGCTAGGCACAGAATGTAGGAGCCCAAGGAGAGAGGGACGTCGCTGGGGTGGCAGCTAACTTTAACCACCTCTTTGTCACTGACAACCGACTTCTTATGACAATCCTTTTTATGTCTTCGTTTTCTCATCTGGAAAAAGGGAAAATGACAGAGCTACCCTCTCAGTCCCCACCACCCAGGCCTACCCAAGAAACCAGCTCTCAGAAAGAGCGCAGAGAAGGGCTGAGAGCCCGGTGCCTCTGCGCAGGCACTGTTAGACCTGTCTGGACAACCAGACCAGACATTAGCTCTGCTGTGCCGCCTCTGCAGGAGACTGCCACAGTGTCACCTCTGTGAAAGTGGCCCCAGGAGATACCCTTGGAGGCCCAGGGTCAGCAAGTACACTCCCCGCTCCAGGTAGAGGGGCACCATGGCTGCACACACTGGGAAGGGGTCGGCCTGCCCTTTGCCCAAAAGGGAGGAGGCTTGGTAAGTCCAGTCCACTAAAAAAAGGTAAAGATTCAATAGGGCTTTGCATTATTTTCTCAAAAGCGATACAGGAATCATAGACCAGGATCTGTAAGTTAGAGCATTTTGTAAATTTCTCTATATTGGCATCTTCCCTGCAGTCGTTTGGTTAATTTGTCATCTCTGAAAAGCTGTAAGGTCTCAAGAAACAGACGGGAGCTAGGCAAACTGAGGAGAGAGCTGACCCATGGGGGATAGTTCCACAGAGGAGCAGAGGGACTGTGGTCCCAGGAGCACCCACAAGACGGCAGGGAGAACGCAGAGGGCCCGTCAGAGCCCGAGAGGGGTCCTCAGGCCTGCATTTGAAAGCTTCCCCAGCTTTTCTACCTAAGACCTACCCTGCTAGAAACCATCCTGCTTATTTACTTTCATAAGCTACTTGCCCATCAACTTAAGGCTTGCTCCCTAAGGTTCAAAACTCTGACATCGTTGTTTTTCTTCCCTGCTCTCTGTCCCCTGCCTAGAGTGAATCAGGAACAACAGTATTTAGCTCTTACGCCCAGGTGTTGTACTGATCACACATTCCCATACCTTTGCAATGCTCCACACGTCTAGGAAGGGAACTAACAGGGGTAGGGGGACGAGGGTAGGGACCCCCACCCCTATGCTAGGTGCTGTGCTTATGTGCTACACTGACATTATTCCCATCCAATCCTCCGACAAGCCTAGGTTCTAGGTACTGTGATCTCAACTTACCAGAGCTGGCAACAGACATTCAGAAGATAGGGAGTCTATCCAAGTCTGTAGTTAGAGTGCGGTTCAGATATAGAATCTGTTACTCTGTGAAGCTGGCACTAACCGAGTCTATTGCAAACCCCCCACTCCTCCTCTGACACTCAGAGGCTTTCTAAAAGCTGGCCATGCTGGCCACTTGCTGCCCCTGAGCCCTGTGCTCCTGCCAAACAAGGCTAACGATAGCGTCCCCACCTTCATGCCCCTCTTGCCACCTTTTAACCTATAGCAAGCCGTCCTGGTGGCTCAGAGAAATCCTTGCTGTTCTAACCCACCCAGAGTTTGTCTGCTTCCTCTTTCAAAGCCCAGCTTCTTTTTCTGAGAACCTCTTCAGGCCAAACCTTATTCCAAATGCCCACGAACCCTCCAGAAGCCCGTTCATGTCTCCCCACCTGTTTATCTGTGTGTCCAAGAGTCAGGAGTGTGTTGGTCCCTTTGTCTGCCCCTTCATACATGCAAGAGAATGCCAGCAGTTGACTCTTTGCTGGTGTGCAGTGCGGTCCTTGCTCTCCAGGGCTGACTCCTCTCTCAGGCTGCCGACTCTCAAAGGCAGGGACCCCCTACATCCCGAACGTGTTATTTCTTTAGTGCCCAGAATTCAGTGGGCAATTATAGAACGTGACCATTTTGGGGGATGATAATAACAATGATGGTACAACTTGTATAGTATTAGTACTTCCAATATAAATGCTGACTATCCAAATATGGTATCCATGATAGTAGGGGAGTTCTTGTTCAATTTATGTGACTTTTGTAACTTTGTACATAAAGCTAGATAGGTATTAATATTTTATACATAAATTTCCAGTGTATGTAAATCATTGATGACAAAGGAAAGCACTGTAAATCGTTCCTCCAAAAACAAAATGAAGTCAGTCGGATGGAACGTTCTGAGGGTCTTCCAGAGAGGAGTAGAGTTTGGTTTTCTGGGCCGCACCCAAACATCATGACCATGTGAAAATCATTCTTAACACCTTCCAGAGAGCAGATGAATCGCAGTACACAGGGCCCTGTCACCCAATAACCCCAGGCAATGTGTTACAAGAGATGAAGATGTGGCAACTTGACCACAGTCAGCTGCCCCGACAGAGTCAGTAGTAATTAATTAGCCCTGTGGCTCACCATCGCAAACTGCCATGCCTGCTTTGGAACAGCTTCTCTGGGAAATGGGAGGAAAAAGCCTCCAAGGACTTCTTACATCTTTACTAGAGAAAAGAAATTGTTTCCAGGGAGCTCCCAGGCCCAGGCAGGAGAGAACCTCCACAGGTCACTCTTCTCTGAATCTTATTTGTCACGGTCCACGTTTTTCAGGCAGTGGAATTGATTATAGTGATGATGATTATAAAGTTGGCACCAAAGCAAGTGAGCATTAAGAGGGAAGGCATCTTTTTCCCCTGGGTAAAATCAAAGTTTCAAAATATTCCCAAAAGCATTTCCAGAATCCTTTCCCCTCAGCAACTCCTTAAAGCAGTCAGCATTAAGTGCTTGTCTGTTTTGAGATTCTGATATATTTTTGCATGATTATTCATAGACTCCCTTGCCAGAACAGGAAGGCCCAACTGTTGGAACAGTGGGAACTTTTGAACTGATGAGCTCGAAAGATTTAGCATACCAGATGACAATTTATGATTGGGAACTCTTCAACTGTGTGCATGAGGTAAGCTGCTTGATTGAGAGCATTAGTAGGTACCACAGCAATTCTGGATGAAGCCTGCTGGCATTGCTCAGCTGCAAATGTTAAGACGTGCTGCAATATGGAAACCACATGATCTTTTTAAAATATCGAGTTTATTAATAAAGCCTGTCAAAGTCTTTGAGTGTTAGAGAAACATCTTTATGATTTACAGTAAGCTATGTCTTCCTGAGTATACTAAGCCAACAGCACCTAGTTTGTTGTTAATATATTTAATAAGCCTCAATGAAGCTCTTCAGACCTAGAGTACAAGTAGAATCCTGGTCAGTGATTGTATTTGCATTTGCTGACCACCGTCGATTTGTGTTAACAAATAGGGAGGCCTCGCTGGTGTTTTGATTGAAAAACAAAGAAGTGAAATTGTTTTCCTTTCTTTTCTAGCTGGAGCTAATCTATCACACATTTGGAAGGCATAATTTTAAAAAGACCACAGCAAACTTGGATTTGTTCCTGAGGAGATTTAATGAAATTCAGTTTTGGGTTGCCACTGAGATTTGCCTTTGTTCCCAGCCCAACAAGCGTGTTCAGCTCTTAAAAAAATTCATTAAGATAGCAGCACAGTAAGTATCATTAGCTTGGGGAGAGAAAAGTATTTGAGCTGCATTTTCATTTTGTTCTCTCAGACTACACCTTAGAAAGAAAAGCAAGATACAGGGTCTCCTTGTGCACAAAGGCCAACCACAGGGGTTTAAGAATAACTGCACTCTAGTAAAAGATTAATTTTGTCTAGTTTCTATAATATTTGACACCATTATATAAATTAACATCTTGCAGCATCAGTACTGGAGCCAAAATAGTGACCTCTTTTTGCTCAACTACTCAAAGTCTGTGCCTCCTTCAGGCAGGGTTGTCCAACCCACAGCCCGTGGGCTGTATGCGGCCCAGGATGGCTGTGAATGTGGCCCAACACAAAACTGTAAATTTATTTAAAACATTATGAGTATTTTTTGTTTTCGTTAGTGATCGTGTATTTAATGTGTGGCCCAAGACAATTCTTCTTCTTTCAGTGTGGCCCAGAGACACCGAAAGTTTGGACACTTGGAAGAGCCTTTCAACAAAGTTCTGCTGTACAGAGTTCTGTTTTAGGAGACTCTTGAAGTCAATGTCCAACATGACACATTCTCACCAGTAGAGGGCAGTGGGAACATGCATGTACAACAGCACACCCAACTCAGCCAAAATAAAATCGGTAAAATGCATAATGGCAATCTAACCTGGAACATGAAAATCATCTCCATAAACATCAGAAAAAGCGAGCATCTTATAAATATTCTATTTAACAGCACTAAATGGGAAACAATTTATTTACTGCAGAGGCCAGTTAGAGTTCTCCCTAACATGAATTTAATCTTCTGTTGTTTAGATATGCCTGACAACCTCCTGTTTACGCCCATGTTTTTGGTATCACCACAGTGCTAAAAATAAAATGCTAAATGCAGCCCATGGCTGGGAGACTTCTTTCCTTTCTAAAAGTAGGGAGCTGGAGCACAGGAACGTGGGGAGCAGACGTGATCCTTGCTAGGCAACTCTTGAGCCAAATGATTTATGTCCTGTATAGAGTCTGATTTCCAGAGCTAAACAAAGAAGTAAATACTGCTTGACATTGTATGTATATCGGCTTGCCAAATGCTTTGAATTTTTTGCCAAAAATCTGAGGATTCCACAGGATAGCCAAATCCCTTAGATTCAAATGCTGGTTCTCTTAACTTGGAAAAGCTGCCCTTTTGAAGACAGATTTGGTAAAACGTTGCTTATGAATTTCTGGTTCAGAGTGTAGCCACTTTCTCTGGGAGCCTGAATAGTACTGTTGTGCCTTCACCTGTTTGGAAGGAGATGGTTATGGAAACTGACAATACGTGCCTTCCCATTACGAGGAGCACGTCCCCTCTTCACCTCAGCCAGGCAGTGCAAAGTGCCACAAGGGGACAAGGGAGGTAATCTGCTCACGAACAGGGGAGATCAGGAAACTGTGGCGGCCCAGTCCTGTTGTTGTACAAAGGCAACACAGGAGAGCCTTTCAAGATCTCAGGAACTTTTAAAATATTTTTGCCTTTCCTATCTCTCTTCCTGCTGATTATGTAAGTGACTAGGTGGATTTGGCCTTTGGTATTAATTGCTTTATGTTATTTAACCATTATTAATCCCTTCTGTCCTACAGTGACAGTGTTTACATGCCCAGCTGGAGAAGATTGCACTTTCATAAGCCAAGATCTATGAAACTGAGATCTAATCCCATTGGCATGACATGTGTTGTCTGGTGTTGTTAGGAACTTCAACATATTCTGTTCAAGCTCTTTGACCTGCCCAGAACTTTGTGAAGTTGGGAGTCCAAATGTTACCATCCCCTTTGACAGAGGAACAGACTGAAGCATAGTGAAATTTCATGACTTACTTAGGGTGATAAAGTTGGTTGGTCACAGTAATCAGAGCAGTGACCAGAAAGGCAAGTCTGTGGTCCTGCATGTTGTCATTTAAAATCATATAGACAGGACAAAGGCGAACGTGTACGTGATCACACCCACTGCCTTCAGCCCCGGGGGGCTCTGAAATTGCTTTCAGCTCCTGTCCTGAGAGCCACTGTCCTCGCACAGCAAAGGCTGTGCTTGCTTTTTCACTGGTGGGCTCTGATACACTAGAGCGTTTGCCAAAATCTGTTTTCCCATTTCCACAAAGACCGTTTAAGCATCACTCATCGCTCCTTTTGCAAGAAGAGGGGCAGCAAATGCAACAAGTTAATTAGGCTTTTACAAAAATGTTAATCCAAATAGGATTTAATTATGACATAGTCAGTTTAGAAAACCACATTGATTTGGGGTAAAGGATGTGCACTTCCTGCAAAATGAATTATTCTTTCCCTTCTCAAGGAACTGGTGTGAAGTTGGGGAGTCCCCCCCTTTTTTTAAATTAATCCAAGTGCCTAAGCTAAATATTGCCATTATAATAAGAATCCTTGGTCTTGTTCCATAATATTCTTATCCCCAAATATATATATTTATAAAAGCTCATAGAGGCATAAGTACAGATTCAAAATGATCAACTTCACTAACATCAGTAAAACAGAGAGAAAATAAGGTTCTTTTTTGGGGAGGGTCAATTGCTTAGGCTTGTTTCTCAGCTTTAAAACTCCTTGAGTCCATAGAGTTCATCACTTGTAAATTGATATTTTTCAATAAATTAGAAGCATTTACATGGCAGGTCAAAGTCATGGTTCTTCGGCCATGTGATTTCCTTGTTGCCTCTTGAGCTGCCATGGGAGGCGCCCAGCTTCAGGCTAAAAGTCTGGCCTTTGGTCAAGGGCATTTGCTTTCTCACTTCCCATCCCTTGAGATGTTTCCCTCAGGTCTCAGAGGCTTTTAGCAAACTTCAGGGTCAAAATAGCAATCCCTAGGGTAGGTGCCTTTAAGTTCCTTCTCCAAACCTGGACTGAGCTGGCTCGAACCATCACCGTTCCAAAATTACAGTGAGAAATCAAACAGCAGAACGTGGCCACCCAAGTGGAACTTACACAGCGCATTAAATCTATCACTGTCTGTTCTCATAAAGGAGTCCTGACGAATGTTAATGACTATGAGAAAATAGAACTCCAGTTTTTTAAAATCTCACTCAAAGTGGCACTTTACTCACACACGCGCCTCTTGCTTTTCAGCTGTAAGGAGTACAAAAACCTGAATTCCTTTTTTGCCATCGTCATGGGACTAAGCAACGTCGCTGTGAGCCGCTTGGCACTAACGTGGGAGGTAAGCTTCTGCGGAGATCCAGCTGTGAATGTCGCCTTAAGAATAAAAACCCAGGCACACCAGTGAGCTTTTTGTATAGAAATATCACTCACACTCGTGTCACAATGGAAAAGATGGGACACTTGGAGGGAGGTGACCTGCCTTCTTTTTCCAGTTGCCTCAGAGTAGGAATTAAAAAAGGTATTGTCCCTTTCTTGTTTAGGGGATGGAGGGAGTTTCCGCTTCTTGGCCTCTACAATGTAAATAATAATAAGTCTAGTTCCTAGGTGTAATGTGAATCTACAACACTGCTTGGATGATTTCAAAGGCTTTGTTCACAGATTCCATTGTTTTCTGGAATGTCTGCTTATTGCTTTTGCAATAAACCTTATCTATAATTAAGAGAGGACGGAAGATCCTCCCCCCCCCTCACTCGCGCCCCGCCACAAGTAGTCATTTTGCTTCTGGGAGAATTTGCTAGAAGGCCAACTGTTTAGCCCAGCAAGTATCTCTTAACTGCCTGGCAGGCCTCTCTGTGTATGGAGGAACAGCAGTTGGCTAGCGGTCAGTTTGGGGCAAAAGTTATGCAGGCATGTTATGAATTTCTGTAGCAAATGTGATGAGTAATTTGTTGATAGTCATTTGTGCTAGAGAACATCTTCATTTTTCATTAGCTAAGTACCGAAAATGTGCTGGACTATATACCTGTGGTATATAGTCAAAGAAATACTAACCTCTAATAGAACATACACATAAAAATAGACTCTTACTAAAAATAAAAAGTATGTGTAAGTGGGACACAGAAAGAGGGCAAGAAGGAGATAACAGACTTAATGTGCAATGCTGAAGGCAGCTGTTCGCACTTCTAAATGTTTCCCTGAAACCTTTCTTTCAGTCCCTCTTGAAACTGTTTTCTTCAAGGGAAACATTGTTTATAGGGCAGGTCCTCACAAGTCCTTCTGCCTGGGTTTTCTCTTAAAATTCCAGGCAGATGCAGCACGCAGCAGCTCATCCCCTGAATATAGGAATGAGGGAATTGGTGAGGCCCACAGGCCGCGCAGCTGTACCATCTGCTACCTGGCGAAAGGACAGGGTTAGTGCTGCCAACGCCGCTGAGCAATGGAGCCATAATGCAGGCTCACCTGTCCTGAGCCCACGGCTCTAGGAATCTCTGAGGACCTAGGGTTTCCTCTCAGATAATCTGCTTTCTCCAACCTGTTTCCATCTTCTGATCCCCCTGCCTGCCCCCCAAGAGTCCATATGAGTTGGTTGCGATAATTAAAGACATATAAAGCCTCACAGGGGCCCAGGAAGGCCCGGTGTAGGTACCACAGGGCAGCAGCCAGAAATTAAGGATGCAGCATGTGGGCACCACAATGTGAGTCCCCTCTCCCGGTCTCAAGAGGAGAATGGAGGCTGCCTGTGGGGGAGGCGGGTGCTGTCAGCAAAGCAGAGAGTTAACTGATGGGTCCTCAATCTCATGGGAACAGGCAAGCATCCATCATTCTGTGGGCTTCTCTTTTCATCCTTGAGTGTTGCTAAAAAGAGAAGATTAACCTTTCATCATTTATAAGCCTTTATTTTTTAAGGTAAATATAATTATATTGCGTGGTAGAAAGATCTTTGATTTTGGTTTCCCTCCATGCACCTGCCAAGTGTCTCCCCAGGGCAGCCCGTGCGGCTCCGGCGAGCACCCTGTGGCCCTGGCAGCCGCGTGGGAAATGGTGCCTGGCCTCCAGGAACCACAGACCCATATGAAACTGTCCACAAACAGAACAGAAAAGCAAGTTCAACCACGCGGCAAAGGAAATGGATCAAAATAGAAGGGACAGACCGATCTGAAATAAAGCAAACGGGAGTGACAACCTGGAGCACATCCTTGGTCCCAGCAGGACTGACATTTGGGGTGGGGACATTCCTGGCGTGGAGGCTTCCCGTGCATTGCAGGGTACTTAGCAGTATCCCTTGCCTCTACCTTTCTGTACCAGCAGCACCCGTCACCTCATCCCACCCCAGTGACCAAAACAAATGTCTGCAGACATTATCAAATATTCCCTGGGGGTGGCGGCGAGGCAGTGGTGCAAAATTGCCCCCAGTTGAGAACCACTGCTCTGGAAGTATGGTTTTATCACCATATGCCCTCCTGCCTTTGACCCAAAAGCCAGCTAAGTCAAGAAAGAGAACTAGTGCGACAGATCTAACCAAAAATGTGATTCACTCCTCATTCTTAAAATGGTCTGTGTGCATGAAAAGTTGTCTCCTAACGTGATGATTTGGATACTCTGTGTGGGAGGAGATCCTCGTCCTTACACCTCTTGATGCCCCTCCAGCTTTCACGCCTTTGAACATCCCCTCTAAGCAAGGATATAGAGCTCCCCTGAAACCCAACTTGAAAATAGGTGCTAGGACTATGAATTTGGCTTCCTAGAAACAAAATAAGATATTGTACAATGTTTAAGCGGGGATATTTAAATAGATAAATGGATTCTGATATGAGGGGGAAGAAGAAAGGAGTTTTTCTGTGGGTGGCAGAGGCCTAATTCGTAAATCGGTTGTTGACATCGCAAAGCGGAGCTGACCTGGGAATCTCTGAGGCCCAGGATTCGGGCGATGCTTCCAGAGTCTCAGGGTGGGAAACGTGTCACACTGCTTTCTTTCAGTGTGGTGCAGTCAGAAGGGAAAAGCTCAGCTTTACTGAAAGCTTAGAACCTAAGCCAACCGAGACCCACAGATTAAAAGATGTTTCAGTACTGACCTACTGGTATAGGTAGGAGGGTACAGACAGTGGTGTTGAATAGCATGCCAAAACATAAACATAAGAAAATTACTAAATTGATGGAACTGCCAATTTTTGTTTTATAGCAGGGCAGAGAAAGATGGGGGAGAAATGCTTGTGTAGAGGAGCACAGAGCATATAAGAGAGGCAATAGAAAAGGAAGCAAGTGATGTGAATTGCACAGGCTACGGCCATAATCAGCTATGTGACTTTGGGCATTTTGCTTAAACTGTGAGACTCAATTTCTTCCATCTATGAAATAAAGGTTTAGTCTAGCCAAATAAATATTTATTGAACACCTACTGTGTTCCTGGCAGTTTGGCACTGAAGGTATAGCAATAAATGAAACTGATTAAAAAATCCCTGTTCTCATGTAGCTTGCAGTGTACAGGAGAAGGGTTAAAATAGAACAATTTTTAAACTTTTAATCCTAATATTCTCTGGTCTAAATTCCTAATTGTGGGAATCAGAGAGTTTGATTCCAAAACATTTGTAACCTGGGGATGTAGTCCTCTTTATGAATAATCCATTTCAGAAGACATTATAGAGCAGGAAGACCAAAGCATCCATAGTAACTTTTGGCTCAACTAAGTTGCCTTGTTTTTTCCAACCATCACGCCAGGTTATGTTTATTGATTTTAGAGAGAGAGGAAGAGAGAGAGAGAAGGAGAGAGGGAGAGAAAAACATAAGTGTCAGAGAAACATCGATCAGTTGCCTCTCGTACATGCGCTGACCAGGAATCAAACCCATACGACCTAGGTATGTGTCCTGACCAGGGATCGAACCTGTGACCTTTTGGTGTACAGGATGACACTCCAACCATCTGAGCCACCTGGTCAGGGCTAGATTAAGACTTTTAAAAGGTTAATTCTTTATATTCCAGAAGATTATCCTCAAATGACAAGACAGATTACAGTCTGGCCTGTCCTAGGGGTGCTTGATTAAGAGCCGAAAGAAATACATTTCCCTTAGAAATGGTAACACCTGATACATACCTCGATATTGAACCTGACATATAAATGTGGCATTTTCATTTCATTAACAGAAACTGCCAAGCAAGTTCAAGAAGTTCTATGCGGAGTTTGAAAGTTTAATGGTAAGTGACAGTGGCTCCTTTATCCTGTTCACTGTCCGTATTAATCCAATTTCTGATTAGCTGAATTGAGGTCCTCATTTCAGAAATTTTATCTGTCCTTGTATGACTTTAAGAAGTTTATGATCCCGTTTTAGTGCTGCTAAAACAAGCATGTCTGACTAATGAATGACGCCCTCAGGAACTAACTTAAAGAGGACTTATGTCCCACATAAGGTCAATTTGTGTAACTAAGAAAAGCAGTGTAATAGGATCCTTTCCATCCAGCACAGGTTGACTGTGCGTTGGAAGCTGCATTTTTCTTGGCTTGCCAAAATCGTCTCTCCCCACTGGCTGGGAGGTGTTAACAGACAGAAAAAGGAGTGAGGGTGGGGGAGGGGGACGTGGCCGGAGTGACGGGTTAGGGAGGGCGAGTGGGGGCCTGCGGAGCCAGGCAGCGGGCAGCGGGCAGCGGCAGCGGGCAGTGGGCACCGGGCCGGCTCCCAGGAAGGAGCTGGGCTTCGGGGGAAGGGAATCTTGTGGCTGCTGTTTGTTTTACATGTTTTATATCTGCTATCAAAGGAATCTCTCCCCTTGTTCTCCATAGGCAAATCTCCCTTTCAAACAAGAAAGGAAACAAAAAGCAAATTATCTTCATGGCACATAAAATTGTTTTAAAACACAAATCAATTTGCTTAGCGAAGTCTACCTTTCTTTTGTAGCTACACTTGATTCCAAACTAGCTGATTGTGGGATGACAAGGCTGGGCGTGTTAGGAAGTAAAGGGGGTGGGATATGTGTCATTAATTGTTAATCAGCCTCTGTTTCCCCGAAGGATCCTTCAAGAAACCACAGGGCCTACAGGCTGACAGTAGCTAAGCTGGAGCCTCCTCTCATCCCCTTCATGCCTTTGCTCATCAAAGGTAATTCTGAGAAAACGCACAGGCCAAGCCAGTGATGAGTGTGCTGGGAAGGAAATGAACAAGAGCCTCATCAGCCTGATCTTTTTGGGAAGAGTGATCCCATCCTTCCACCTTTTTCATCATCTCCCCTCAGCCCTGACTTTCCTGAAAGGGTTGGGAAGGTGCCTGGAGGAGCAGGAATCCACAATTTGGAAGACTTGAGAGTAAAACAGAGGGTTAATTGGGAAATTTTACTAACCTCAGGTAGAGTGTGTTAGAAAGTTAAACACCCAACATAAAAGGAACTATTGTCAGCTTTTTTCAACTGCAGTATTATGCAAATCCTCCAGCATAAGCTAATGGTGCTATTGTGATTTCTTAGTATGACATATTTCTGTTAGTGATTAGAATGTAACTTTGATTTCTTTGCAGATATGACATTTACTCATGAGGGGAACAAGACGTTCACTGACAATCTAGTAAACTTTGAAAAAATGGTACGTGCGGTATTATAACCTTAACCACAATAGATTTTTTAGAAATAAAATTTGCATTTGTACTAATAAAAAATAATTTTCAGATATGCTGCCATGTTAAAAAGGTAGTTACGCGTCACGGAGCTTTGAACTATGTGGCTCCAGTTGGCTCCCCGGCTCGGCCTGCCAGCTCCCTTTTGTGAGGCCCAACGGGGAGTTGCGCTGCAGCCCCGCCAGCAGCTGGCTGTTATGCCGCCCAGGGCCTGGTCCTTGGCTGCCTGTTACTAAATGCACGATGCTCCAGAGTGACTTGTGTGTTGTTGTCTTGTTGTAAGACTTGTAGTGCTAGACTGCGGCAGGGTGCCTTTGAAATGTTTATCCACTGAGCCTGACTTTCATGCATGGAGGGAAAAGACAACTCTACGGCCCTCCCTCATTATGGACTAGTCATGTAAATGTGTATTGTTTATCCCAATGAAGTTCACCCAAGTTCAGAGAGGGGAGTTGAAAATCTGCATATCTAAAACCAAAATTTTTACAAGTAACAGATAGGGAACTGGTACCTGTTCAGCATTTGCCAGCCCCCCACCCCCACCCCATCTGGGGGGGGGAAATGCTGTGTTAATGTGGCATTAGTTACTTTGCAGTTTATTTTCTTTACTTCTGCTAAGCCAGAACCTTTATTTAGCCACATAGTGCATGTTAACAGAGTGCTCCATTGTCTTCTAAACCCTTTGGCTGAAGCCTGGATGGATGCGTTGTTACAGTGTTGTACGTGTGGGTAACCATCTGCCCAGGGCCATGGTTTGCAGAGGTGACTGTGGTTCTTGCAGCAGAAGCTCAGTCCTTGGAGTGCAGGACACATGAAGTTCAGTTCTCAGCTTCGTCCCTTTGCAGCTGTACCTTCTCTGCGGGTTAGTTTCCCAAAGAGAAAATGGGGATCGTGCCTGCCTCATCTATCCCTGGAAACTATTGATGGGTCCAGATACATAAGTATTCCTAGAAGCCATACAGTGCTATCAAAGTCTTATCAGAAAACTGTTCTACTTGTTTCTTGAACCTATATGACACCCGGAGAATTTGAAACATCCTACAGTAATTTTATAAGGCTTACACCATTCAGCTTTGGAAATGAGTTCATTGCAAAGTCCAGTCCAACAAAGAAATGCAGCAATTTCTGGGCACTAGGTTCCCATGTCTTAAGCTTCCTAAGAAATAGCACATGAGTCCACGCTCCTCAAAGACACTGTACACTAGAGGGCAAATATTTTCTCAGCAGTCTTCCCCTCCTCTACTCCCCTCCCCCCAAGGGCATGAGCGTCTCCTCCATTACTGTGTCAGTTTAATAATTCTTTAAGTTAAAAAACAACAACAACAACAAACCAGTCCTAGCTGGTGTGGCTCAGTGGATTAAGTGCCTGCCTGTGAACCAAAGAATCACCAGTTCAATTCCCAGTGTAGGGCACATGCCTGGGTTGCAGGCCAGGTCCCCAGCAGGGGGCGCACGAAATGCAACCACACATTGATGTTTCTCTCCCTCTCTTTCTCCCTCTCTTCCCTCTCTAAAAATGAATAAGTAAAATCTTTTTTTAAAAAAGTAAAAAACAAAAAAAATTATTCACTTCTCTTCCCTCTCTAAAAATGAATAAATAAAATCTTTTTTAAAAAAGTAAACAAAAAAAATTATTCACTTCTTAGTATGGAGAATTAAACATATTTCCCTGATTTCTCAAAAGAAAACCTGTTTTTCAGAAATGAAAGATTTAGAAAATAGGTAAGGAGCCTTCTGGATCACTTAGGCAGAAACGCATACCGAGGGATGACTCTGCCAGCCATTTGACTATAAAATATACATGTGCACAGAGGCGTAGAAGTCAGAGTTTCCTAAAGAGTTTTGGCTGAGCCTTTTAGAACTTTTGATCATTCAAGTAAACTAAACAGGAAAAAAAATAACAGTAAAATTATCCATCAAGGAGGATGAAAGTTGTTTCATCTGGGTCTGTAGATATTGGTGTTGCACTCAGAACCCCCAAAGGCAAAATCAAGGCTGTATTAAGAGAGTTCCCTCCCCAACTGCTGCACTTCATGCCCACAGCAGTGGGTTCTCACATGCGTAGCAGTGAGGCGAGAGGTCCTTTACACCCTGTTTTCAGAAAGAGTCCACTTTTGCTTAAAAGCTGCTCGATGGCTATGATAACAGTTCAGCTGCAATAACAGAAACCTAAATTCACAATGACTTAAGCAAGATAAGTGTATTTCTTTCTCACTTTAAAGTTCAACCAGCATGGTAGCTCTCCTCCAGGAAGCAGCCAAGGTTCCAGGCTTCTCTCTTGCCATTTCACCTTCCTTCCACGTGGTCCAAGGTGGTGGACCCACCAGAGCCCCTTTCCACCCGGAGGGAAGGGGAAGGGGAAGAGGCAGAGACAGGCTTCTTCCCTGTAAGGATATGACCTGCTGTTGCACTCATCCCTTGGCTCCATTTTGCTGGCCAGAAACCTAGTCCCATGGAAGGAAAGGTAGAATATGCAGCCCTTATTTGGGGTATCCACGTGCCCCACTAAAAATTAGGGGGTTCTATGACAGAGAAAGAGAGAAAGGATACAGAAAGAGTACTGTTAGTTCTCTGCTCCAGCAACTATAACTTTTATTTCATTTGGTAAATCATATCGTGACAATGTTTAATTTTACAATTGCCCTTCCATGATTTAGGCGTTACTGGAAAATGAAATAGAATTTTTAAAAGATTTGATTATTTTTTTTAAAACCTGGCTTTGACCAACCTGGCACTTGTTGTCAACTTTCCAACTCCTTCTCTCAATAAATTAGCCCACCCCAGCCCCCACATCGCCACCACTACCACTGACAAGTCCCACTAGCGGCTGCTGTTATTACTGTGTGTCCTAGGGAAGGAATCACCTCCCTTTACAGGCTGATGTTCATGCTGCTTCCCAGTCAATTGTCAGCAAGGCCAAGGCGACTAGCAGAGCCAGCAGCCTTTGTGGGGCTGGTAGGCTGTATCCCCAGAAGGAGAGCCCTTGCCAGGGGCAGAAGTCACCGGGGTGGCCAGGAACACAGATGCCCTTTCTGGGTGGCAGCATTGCAGTCAGGGCAAACTGCCGTGCCAACCCTAAGTATTTTTATTTTGAACCTCTTCATCCTTGAGGTATGAAATGAGGATTAGAGAATTTGTTGCATATTGGATTTCAGGATTTATGAGTATGAACAAAAGAGAGTTCACACTCTGATCCTCATGCAAAAAAAAAAAGCAGGCATTCTTTTATTTGGGGGGAACATAAAGGAGTATTCAAAACACTGTTTGAATAAAGCCCTTTGTAGCTGTCTATGGCATCCATGAATATTTATACCATTGAGGAGGGAGACGAGTGGGATCAGAGGCTAACGCGCTGGCTGGCTGCCACTGCCCTGCTGCAGGAAGCCTGCTGACGGCCACCGGCCACCTTTGCTCCTGCATGAGGAGGCTGGTTCTGTTTCAGACGCACCCATGTTTAGGTGTATTTATTTAGGGACATTATTTTAAGGTAGTCATTTTATTTGGAATGAGACGCGTGAGGCCAACTTCTGTACTTCTGGAAACATTAACAGAAGCAAATTCATGATGGCATAGAAATGTTTTGAATCCCTTTATTTTTGTATTGTGGGGGAAGGGAAAATTACCCCTTCTCCTCTTGACACTTATGGCTGGTGGAATAATTGAAGTGACAAGAGGTAGATTACCAGGAAGAAATCAAATTTAATATATACATACAGGAATTATACACATTAGCATGAAGAATTCCAAACACAGTAAAGCAAAATAGTGTGGGGGTGTGTGTGTGTGTGTGTGCGTGTGCGTGTGTGCGTGCGTGTGTGTGTGTGTGTGTGTGTGTGTGTGTGTGTATCATCCTGGCTAAGGAGAGTGAAGCAAGGGTCTGGGACTTCAAAAGGAAGTAAAGCAATTCACAGGGAGATGAAAAGAGTTAATGTTTAGTAAACAAGTATTTGCTGGGACATCTAGAAACAGTGGGACAGAGAGGACTTTGATCAAAGGGACCATGTGAAGTTCCTCCCTGTGTATCTACCTAGTTCAGGTTAAATTGTACTTTTGACACCTGAACAACCTGGGTTTAAACTGTGCAGGTCTACTTATATATGGACATTTTTTACAATAAACATGCAGTCTGCCCTTCGAAGCCCCAGGTTTCTATCAATGGGTTCAACCAGCCACAGGTTAAAAAAGTATTTCTGATCCGCAGTTGGGATTCTGTGGATGTAGAGGGCTGATTGGATACATTGTCCTGCATCATTTTTATATAAGGGACTTGAGCATCCTTGGACTTGGGCATCAACATGGGTTCTGGAGCCAATCCCTTGCATACTACTGGACAACAATAGTTAAGTTCAGAGGGAGTCAAAATCTATACGCAGATTTTCTGCGGCACAGGGTCAGCATCCCTAACCCCCACAAGTTCAAGGGTCGACTATCGTTACCTCTGGTGATACCTTCTTCCTGGAACAAGTTTTTATCTTAAATTCTTTTAGGCAATTAGAGGGAAGTCCTTCCTGAGCCTTCTGGGCCTTACAATAATTAATATCCCAAAGATTCATATTTTGAGGCAGCAAACTCTGTTCCCCTTCATGCCATTACATAATTAACCACAACATGTTTTCTACCACCAATAATACTATTACAAGATCATGGAGAGAGCACTGGGCCAATAGCAAAAAGAATCTCCAAGTAACAATCTCGATGTTCAAATCCACCTAATTCCCAGGCCTTTCCAATGCAATCGAAATCTATAAAAGAACTTTGAGTGTTTACTTCTTCCTATAAAATTCACTGACTGGGCTGAATGCAGATTTTCCAAAAGGCATATTTCAAAGCAACACAATATGTGTAAAGTGTCCAGGCAAAGAATTTTGCTAGGAAGCATAAAGAAATCCCAAAAGTAATCCTCAATCCTTAGGAGATTATATGCAGTTGACATGATAAAACATAAAAACATGAAGTATTAAAAACCACA